TGTGTGTGTGTGTGTGTGTGTGTGTGTGTGTGTGTGTGTGTGTGTGTTTGAGCGTGTGTGGGGGGAAGGGGGGGTGTACTCCGCGCGCACGCACGGAGTACACCCCCCGGACGGATAACTTCCAAATCAATGCGTTTGTGTTTGTGGAAGATCTGTAGCCTGATAATCGAGGTTGAGTAACCAATTTGTTATTTTATTCTTACACTCATGTCTAGTCAGAGGGTAAAAGATCAGTACAATATTTAGTTCATTATATAAGTAGCTTCCTAGGAAGCAAAAAAATTCCCAGCGAATTTTATTCGAAAGGTCACTGTTGAGCAGACGGTATGTTTAGGGTAGTCTAGGGTATCTGTTCATTTATCGAATTTTAATATGATAGTAAATTATTGACAAGACTTGTGGAAGTAGTAGAGTTGATTGACAAATGACACAGACGGGATCTACGAGCGGGTGCATTATACATAATTTGGTTTTAGCGAGCATATTTTCTTTTTGCAGTTAATTATAATTAAGTGTTAGGTGTAGTTTAGGCGTTATACGTCCACGGTCCAAAGTACAAAGCGTCAAGTTTGACGTGTTCTTGACTGTACAACCCGAGAGTGCCTGACCAATAATCCAAGACCATGTACACTGATTATTGGGTCGGTAAAAATCGGGCTGGCGATTCCTGCCCGGACATTCACGAAACGAACCGATAACACACGACCAGAGAACTACCGAGCCGTAATATTCCAGTCCAATAACAGACAATAATGGAAACCAAAATGTACTTGATTTATTGGGTCGGTAATTCTAGGGTCGGTGCTTCTTGATTGAACGTTATTGGATCGAATCAATAATACGCGACCGTGATTTAGAAGCTGAAATCACGTACTTGGATTATTGGATCGGCGAAAGGTGCCTGGCATACTCCGAGTAAAGAAATGGCTATGAACCGTGAGGAGTGGAGAAGGCTACTCCGACAAGAGTCTAGCTCTTAAATAAGGTAATGATGATAGTTCGAGTACAGGATTTGGATTATTGACCGTCAATTACATGGTCGCATATTATTAGCTCGGCTACTCTCGGCTCTCTCTTTCGGGTCGGAACTGAGTTTTTTGAGTAAATGGCGGGCTTTTAAAGTTACAAGTACAGTTTTACATTTTTTATTTTAGTTTATTTATATTACGAAGAAAGAAATAGTGATGAAGAGAGTTAGATTCCTTATTTTAAACCAAACTACAAAAGATTTTATCCTGAAAATTCCATTACTTACGAATTCAAGTTTTTGTTAAGTTATTGAAAACAAAAATATTTACTCCCACCGATTAAAAGATAATTTAGAAACTCCAAACAAGAGAACTAAGTTATTTATAAGAAAATGAAAATGTAAAGTACCTATTAGAACCACAATGGAAAATATTTATTGAGGATCCCGAGAATAAAGAGAGAGAAAATGAAGACAAGGCTTAAAGTACTTGTATCCAAGCCAAAACTCTCAATAAAAAAAAACTGAGTTTTTCTGTGGCGCGGTAGCGAGTGGTGACAAATTTCTTGTCAGTCGGCAGTCAGTTGTAAATTGTCCAGGGGAGGTTGATGTTGAATTTTAGTAAAATTTATCATTTTGGTGTATTGATTTAATGTGTGTTATATAGCATTGGTTACGCGAAAAACTGCAAATGGTGAGTTATATTTTGTTGTCAAATTTGTTTTATTATTTTTTTGTCATCACGTGTATTATAAACTTTAATGGCCGGTGGAATCATAATATTTGATTTAACGATGGTAAAGTTTTAACATTGTAGTAATTAACGTGTTAATTACGGTTTTAAATTATTAATCCGTTGGTTTATAGGCTTTTCCTCCATAACAAAATAAATCGAAAGTTAATTGTGCAGCTCTCAGCAATATTTTAATTTAGATTTTGTGGTAAGATACGTGAAGAAGTAATAAATATTATATTAGACAACATCACATAGGTACGTTGCTCTGATCTCAAAAAGTAGGTAACTATAAGTCCATTTGTTTAGGTACTTAACTAAATGTAAAACAATCTTGATACATCTTTTTATTGAAACACATGCTTTACAAATCAATAGGTATAAAAATAGGCATGCAATTTCATATGAAGCTAAGTATTTGTATTTTGTATTTGAAGGTAAGGGAAAATCATTTTATAAATGTATATTTCATTAAATAGACATCTCAAGATTGTTTACATTTATTTAAGTACCTAAACAGATGGACTATAAAGCACTTGTGTTACGGAAATCGGAAACAACGACGGCGACGGTACCACAAATACCCAGACCCGAGACAATGTAGAAAAGTTAGTTTTTGTGTGGGGATCGAAGTAGGGACCTCAGAGGTGGCGACACCAAGAAAAACCGATATGCAAGCCACTCGACTTTTTTTTCTCAAGTGACGGAAACACGCCTGTCCATAACAGTTTCAGTGCCGGTCAGAGCTTTAAATCGCGAAGATCTGTGGGGCACTGCCACTGCGCCCGTAACATAAGTTGACAAGTCCCATGTGCCTGTAATTTCGCCAGCACACTTACCCTTCAAAACCGGAACGCAGTAATGCTAACATTACTGCTTGGCGGCAGAAATAGGTAAGGGGCAGTACAACCCTGGACGAACTCTTTAACAATGAGGTCTACCGCTAAAACTACGGAGATTATTAAAAATACTGTTGAACGTATTTTTTTTTATCTATACTATTAATGCATAATCGATAATATCACATATTTGAGTCATTTGAGCACGAACTTACGTAATTTACAATTTTGAGTGGAATAAAATTGACATGAGTCGATTTCGAATTAAATAAACAAATTATATTCTGAAAATATAATCCTTCACAACACTATAGCCGAAAATTAATTGAGCGGTCGCAGTAAGGGCTTGCTCCCATTATGTCGTAACGTTTCATTTATCGTTGGACGACAGTCGCATCTAGCCTGTTCCCATTATCACGACTATCTGTTAAAAAGAAAAGTCAAAATCAAAAATTGATTATTTGTTAAAAATTGATTAGTGTTCAGTTTAATTGCCGAAGTCTCCTTTTAAGCACAAGAATGCTCGTGTCAGGAGACCACCGCTCTTCATCTCGATTAGGTGTAACGTAACAAATAGCTTACACTTACCTATACTATTTTTTAGTTGGATAGAAGACAAAACAACAATGATACAATCTATATGTGCACAGAAAACGACATACTCACTTGTATGGTGTTTCTGAATTTCACTGTGCATTGGATTAACATTTCAACTTGGTCATAGTCTAAATTGTGAACCCACTTTGTTGTCACAGATTTACACTCGTGTAACGTTTTTTTGTATACATATAGAACTTAAAATCTGTCGTGAATTTGTCGTGGACGTTTATTTTATCGTTGAACGACTGTCTTGTCTTGCTGTTCGCACTAAAACGTGACGATCATTTGTCGGTTCACAGCAGCCGCCTTGTCGTTTGCACGACAGAATCGTTTGAAGTCGCGATTATCTGTCGTCACATTTTTGTCGTGACGTTTTATTTATCGTTAGACGACTGTCGTTCTAGCTCTTCCCATTGTCACGACGGTATGTCCTCGTAGCGTTATAAAAGTCGTAGACGACACTTAATCGTGTTGTTCTATGCGTGAACAACTTCACACGGTAAAAACAGATTACTTAGAAAAAGACAAAATTCTTTTTATGAAGACAAATTTATTAAATCCAACAAAACGATTCTCTCCCTATAGACGCTAGATAATAATTACTTGATAATAGTAAAAAAACGTCTCAAAAGTGTATTTTAGTTATGAGACAGAAATATTTAATCCAAGAGCAAATTAATTTGCTTCAAGTCACAAACCCACTCTAGATTCAACAAAATATTTATTTGTTATTAGAAATGTCCGATTTTGATTTGAAAAAAAAAAAAAGAATGAAACATTGAGAGGTACTTAATTATTTGACTGAAGATTTGTTTTCTAATATCAAAAATGGTAAATTTACAGGGTTATGGACCAACAGTATGTCTCAGTAGCGTGAAAGCACACAGTTTAGTGCCAAACCTTAAAGTAGCAGAAATAGGACGGATATAGATGCTACAGCGGCAAAAAGCACTAACAATAGCAATTCCAAAAATATGAGATGACTTTATACTATTGAAGTTAACAAAACGATAGCGCGTTTCAGAGTACAACTAATGCCATAGCAGTGGCGTGATGGAATTAATTGCATGTTAAAGTTGTGCTTGTTACAAGTGTAGTGTGATTTCATGCTGAAACCAAATTTCTTAAATTATGACTGTAAATAACACCCTAACAAGCTTTGGATAAATGACTGTTTATGATTTTTATGATTACAATAATAGAATAAGTAAAAGTAATCGTTACCGCGTGCGCCTTCGGCGACATGTCACGACAACGTTGACTATGAAAACGCAGCGAAATGTTGCTTTAAGAATATAAGAAGATTATTTAAATTTGATGTTAGAGGTAAAAATTTCTTGATGTAAGTAATGTCCAATCAATTGATTAGAAATGAAATCAAATGTTGAAGTGAACGTATTTGTCTAAAAGTTAGAATAAAGTTAAGAGTAAAATTGTATTAGAAAAAGATAAGCAGTATTTTTGTAATGACAATATTTTATTACTTTTAATAAATATATTTTCAGAATTAGCAAATATTTTGAGAAATTGCTCTTTCTTATTAGTAGAAATCCTTTTTTCTGTGCATTTAAACATACAAGCCACGACACTTTACACTTTACTGCACAACTATCTGTCGTCACGACATAATAGGAACACGCCCTTAGGGCTTGCAGTTTCACTGCATTTATGCGTCCCGGTAAAAAAAAAATATCGAAAGTCCGTGCGGTATCGATCTTCTTCTAAGGGTCGTATTCTAGAACTCTACTCAATGCTCAAGTCAGGATTTAAGTATGGTTTAAAGCACTCGAAATCATACTCAAGTCTCTGCCATTAGGGTCGTATTTCCAATTATTGTGTTTCCAGTGCAATCCTGACATGAGCATTGAGTAGAGTTCTGGAATATGACCCTTAGTGTGCCACTTCTCTACGATGGGTAGCGACTATGCATATAGCATGACTATTCTGATTTTTGAAGCTGCCGCACGAAAGAGGGCACGTTACTAAGGTGGAACCAGTCTCTCGGTTTCTTCAACCACGACATTTTCCTTCTGCCTCGACTACGCTTTCTTTGTACTTTGCCCTGCATTATTAGTTGAAAAATCCTGTGTCAATTGCCCCTTATTGCGTGGCCAAAACACTGCAGCTTCCTTTCCTTTACAGTTCTTAGTATTTCTTTTCCCATTCGACTCATGGTACCACGATTTCGTTTAACCAAGGCAAACGACTCTTTTATGGGGAACTGTATACGGTTTTACAATAAGATTCCGGAGCATATATTAAGAGTATCATTTCCTAAATTTAAAAACTACATTAAAAATATTTTGATTGAAAAGTCGTATTACAAAATTGAAGACTATATGTGTTAGATAAAGATGTATGGGAAGACGACATGGCTCCAGAATCCACACAATTATGATTCAAAGTGTTATTCCATAGTAGTTTATTTGAAAAGAGCAATCCCTAGAGTTTTTGCTCGTTCTTCTCAGGGAGGTCAGCGTAGTGAACGAGCAGTAGCTTAAATGTGACGTTTTCAAGTGTAAATTTATTTTACCTATGGAATAAATGATTCTTTTACTTTGACTTTGGCGGCGAAGAACCTCGATATTGGTGACCTTTTGTACCAACGATTTGCCAAGCATACGTCTGTACAGTCACATCTCAAAGGACTCCAGTTTTGAGCATAATGTTGCTGTCAAGATCCAACACTCCATACCAGCATGATACAGAAGACATAACAGCGGACCAAATGCAAAGTTTTAGGTAGAACTTTCTGTAACACAAAATCTTTTTCATTTTCACGAAGGCATTTCGTGCCTGTTCGGTGTGAATACGAACTTTTTGTACGCTACCCCAGTGTTAATTTACGTAACTTTTGAGATATTTAAATTAATAGTAATAATATCGCACACACTCAACATAGCCCCGCTCTAGGGAAACTCTGTGTCGCGGGTGCCATGGACACACACATAGACAACCACAAATTACACCCAAATTCACGAGAGAAATAAATGTAGGTCATAGAAATATTTCTTCCGGCCCGGGAATCGAACCTGGGACCTCTGCGTGTACGCAGTAAATTGGTGTACATTGGTGTGATGGGACAAAAATCTCGTGCGCCTGTTGGTAAGCGACACGTCTATCCATAACGGTTGCAGTTCCACTCGGAGCTTTAAATCGTAAAAATCGTAGGGGGACTGCCACTTCATCCGTCACTTTGAGACATAAGGTGACAAGTCCCATGTGCCTGTAATTTCACCAGTACTGCTTGACGGCAGAAATAGATAAGGTGGCAGTACTTCCCTGGACTAACTTTTTCACAAGGAGCTCGACTGCTCTACTGATACGTTGTCTGATCAAAAACTAAGTAACTAAAGCGCTTGTGCTATGGAAATCTGCAACTAAGATCTTTGCGATTTGACGCTCTGAGTGGCACTGCAACTGTTACGGACAGGCGTGTAACTCACCATCAGGCGCACGACTTGTTCGCCCCGTCACTTGATATTATAAAAAAAAAATTATGTTGTCTAATAAAAAAAAAAA